GGGGGGGGGAGGGTGGTTGCCAATAGGGGGTGCCGGGAGCTGCCGAGGGGTGGGCACGTGTTGCGGGCTCGGCGTCGGTTTGTGGCCGTGGGCGGGCAAAGAGGCCTTGGGGCTGGGGCTCCAGTTTAGACGCTCAGGCCGGACTACAGCAGAGCGGGCCGGAGGAGGCGGCAGGAGCAGGGGGGAAAATGCACAAGGCAGGGCAGGGCAGAAATCCACGAGCTGGCGGCGGCGGCGGCGTGGGGTACGAGGGGCGGCGCTGGTCACAAGGAGGGCCGGGAAGCGTGGGGGCGATTGATGGGCTGAGCAAGTTTAGGGAGGGCTTTGGGGCCGCGGTGCCCGGCCGGGCCCGGTGCGCGCACGCCCGCCTGGGGGCCTGCACCGGGCCACATGCAAGCACTTAGTCTTCCGTGCAGGCGCCTGTGTGCGCGCCGGCTGTGTGCAGACACGACGGTTGCGCCTTTCCCAGATCCCGCGGCGCGGGCCTGTCGGGCGTGCACACAGCGCGGCGCGAGCAGGCCCGGCTCACGTGACGCGCTCCGCTGCTCGGCCTGGGCTGCCGCGGCACGTGACCGCGCGCGCGCCCACGCGAGGTGTGCTCCGATCTCCGGCTCTCGCCCAGGATTTTGCACCCATTTCCCAGCACTTATAACGCGGCGGCTCGCCGGTGATGGACACACCGGCTTGCTTTGTTTAGATCGTTTTTTCTTCGCTTACTTCCTTGCTTGCTTTCTTTGCTTCCTTGCTTCCTTGCTTCCTTGCTTCCTTGCTTCCTTGCTTCCTTGCTTCCTTGCTTCCTTCCTTCCTTCCTTCCTACCCTCCTCCCTCCCACCCTTCCTTCCTTGTCGGTGGCTCTTGACGATATGGAGTTCGCCTTGCCCCTAGATGTCCTCCGTGACATCGGCCGCTGGCTACCGCAGAACGAATTGCTACACCTTGCCTTCACCTGCAAACGGGTCTACAAGGCCCTCCACGCCGAGATATACCGCGCAGTGGTCTTGGACTCTTCGAAACGCGTTTTCGGCGACGACTGGCCCGCCGGCCGGCGCGTGTGCTCTGCAGATGAACCAGACGCGGTCTTCGAGCCGGTGGTGATCAGATCGCTCTTTGCCTTGACGCATTTCCTCAAAACATTGCAGGCACACCCGGACTACGCCCGGCTCGTCTCCGTGCTCATTGCTCGACCCCAGATCCCAGACATGCCGGAGCTAGCGTTGCACGGGCTCTTGCAGACGGTGTTCCCCTTGCTTTCTAGCATCCGCGTTTTGCACTGGTATCTGCGGAGCGGCCCGCTCCAAGCACAGCTATTGACCTTGCTTCCGCATCCCCACCATCTCCAGAGCCTACGCGGCAACTTCGGCAGACCCACGCCGGCAATGTTTCGGTCCGAGTATTCCACCCTCCGCCACGTCGAGCTCTCGGACTTCGGGCCGGCGCGGTCGCTCCAGGCCATCGATTTCGAAACGCTTCCGCGAATCAGCTCTTTGACGTTGTCCAAGACAAGCTCCTCAAACCAGCTACTTTTCTCTTCTCTGCTCGACGCATGTTGCCAGAATGCTCTTGGTCCAAAGGCAATCAGCATGGGTCCATACATCAACGAGGGAAACACGCCCACCTACGTCTCGGCCTTGTTCAGTCCACCGCCGACAACGCCTCTACTTCTCCGGTCCTTGGTTCTTCGCGGTATGTGCCTCAAGGCGAGTGATGCACGGCTACTTCTAGAAAGTATCGACTGCTCGTCCTTGAGGCATTTGTCTTTGGAGAATTGCTTCGAAACGCTCTTCGAGGATCTGCCTGACAATGGTCCCCCTGCCAATCGCATACAAATCCGAAGGCGCAGAGCCCCGGATGTGTCATTTATGGATCTTCTTTCAGAGGGCCTCCAAAAACTCCAACTGCTCAAAATATCTCTTTCCAACGAGATGTGCTACAATTCGGCCACGTTCAGGGCCATCTCGAAAATGAATGGTCTTTCGCAATTGAGCGTGCACCTCAAAACCTTCTGCAGAAACGGCCCGGTTGACTTCACTCATTTGGTAGACTCTCTACAGTCTCACAAAGATACATTGAGGTATCTTGATATCTGCAGCAATGTTGTGGATGAAATCACAGCGCCGCCTTGCCCAAAAAACCGCAACTACTACAAGCTTGAATCCATTCTGGGTCTTTCCCACTTACGCCAATTAAGATTTCTCCGAATACCCACCACATATTCACAAATCGAGAAAGTTCCGGTTGTTCTTTCTGAACTCGAAAACTTGAAAGTAGTTCAGCTCCTTGTCACCGACCTGGAACGAACAGCTCCTAATCCGTGCAATGGCTGTCCCAACACAACAAAATCCGCACTCTGTAACTTCAACAGCTTGATAGCACAAGAATTCTTTACCTGCGCAAACCCGTTCGTGAATAACTTGGAGCATGAACAAAACATGCAACACCTTCAATATGCAACTGAGTACCGCAACATTCTCAGCACATTGTCATACCTACGGTTCGATCTTAAGCAAGTGTCGCAAGTATTCGACTGTAATTCATTGAATCACATCAGGCTAAAGGGTCAAATGTATGTTGATAATTTTGACGCTTTGATACAACTGAGTATAGACGTTTAAGAAAAAAAATCCTCCGTATTATACTACTTGAGTTCAGCTTTCCCGCTTTCTATGGCGGCTTTATAGCGCTCCAATGCTCGTTCTCTGCAAAGCTTGTGATCGACGATTGGCTCGGGATAACCATTCTTCCTTGCAATCTCGGCAGAGTCGCTGTGTGCATAAGGGTTGTGAATAGCTTTTCCCTTGACGTCGGTTAACTCGGGAACCCACTTTCTTATAAAGCCCCCGATAGGGTCGAACCTCTCAGATTGCGTCCAAGGATTCAAAATTCTGAAGTACGGCTGCGGATCAACACCTGTGCTAGCAGAGAAACCCCAGCCTCCATTATTAGAGCTGAAGTCTCCGTCGGCCAATTTCAGCATAAAGTATCTCTCCCCGTTTCTCCAATCCAAAAGTAGATCCTTAGCCAAGAATGATGCCACGATCAATCTCCCTCGATTGTTCAAGTAGGATGATTCATTCATGCATCTCATGCAAGCATCCACAATTGGAAACCCTGTCTTTCCCTCACACCACGAGAGAAAGTGATCGTTGTTGTACTTCCACTTTACGTCCGAAAGCTCCAAATGAAAAGGTTTATGCATGGACACATATGGCCAGTTACACATGATGTGCTTGTAAAAGTCTCTCCAGGAAACTTGCCTCACCCACTCCGCAATGCCTGTGGCTTGCGATCTGTTGTTTTTCGAAAGCTTCTTTTGCTCAAAAAGCTCTTGTAGAATCGACCTCGTTGATATCGTTCCCGAAGAAATGTGCACACTCAAGTGCGAAACTGTATCGTCATCTAACGAGTCTCTCGTGTCATCGTAGCCCTTGATCTCGGGGGATGCGATGTAATGTGACAAGGCCTTACGTGCGCCGTCTTCGCCAATAAGCTTGAAATACTTGTGGAAACGAGCCTTGTCCACTTCTCCGTGGGGAAATTCAGGTTTTTCCTCCACCTCAATTGTGCTGCTTAGTTTTTTGTCAGGTGTAGGGTATACGAAGTTTTCTTTACTCAAGTACTCATCGTTCGCAAATTGGACCCATGCTTTGTACCATGGAGAGAACACGGCATATTGTGTGCCCTTGGACTTTGTTTTAAGTTGTCCCGGGGTAACAATGCATGTGTCGTGACATGGGAAATACGCGATATTCAGCTCGAGCAAGGTGTCTAGAAGTTTTTCTGCAAGCCGCAACTCATCGACCTCGTACTCCATGTTGGAGTATAGGTGGTTGATCTTATACTTTTCCAAAAACTCTTTGATCTTGGGGACTATGTCTTTTCTTTTTTCTGCGTGGATGGTAACGACTTGGATGTTCAATGATTGGAGCTTTCTCTGCGCCATTTCCAAACTTAACATTCTGTAGTAGTGCTTGAATGGCGCGTCCAAGTGAGCCTCCCTTTGCTCCGGGCAGTCTACCCAAAAGCAGATCATGGGAAGATTGTTTTTGGTGGCTGCTTGGTACGCCTTTGACAATGCATGGTTGTCCATGATTCTGAAGTCTCTAATGAAGCAGTGAGCAACAGCATTCCCAAAAGGAATGTCAGCTCTTTTCTTGGCGGTGGCGTCTAGCTTCCTAGCCAATATGTAGTATGGCTTGTTTTCATCTTTATTGTACTTTGTGAATGCCACCTTGGTGTTGATTTCCTTCGGGTAGTATTGGTTTCTAAAATGGGTGAGCTCCTCAAGCTTTTGTTTCTTTATCTTCATTTTGCGCGGTACCGAGTTTCACAGTTTTGGAGCTGGCTTGTGAATCTTTAGGGTGTTTTTTATGATTAATTGTGGTAATTTTTGAATATTTCGGACGTAGGAGCGAGCCTGTGGACCTGAATATATAAGACGTATGAGCTGCGCTTGTTTGCTGCCCGCAGGGCGTTGTATACACGGGGCCCGCGAGAAAACGCATGCTTGGCCCCAGGCAAAAACTGGTCCAATGAGGCCATAGCTGCACATTCTGCACCACTGCGATTATGAATCTGCCAAAAACATGAAATAAGTATGCTAAGCTAGAGCCCCTTCCACACACAACGGGGCCTGTAATATCGCTCATGGAAAGCCAACCAGATGATGGGCTGGACATCAGATGTATATGACGGGCATTGTCTATGTTTGCAAGAATTATTACTGATTTTCATTGACATGGACATGCGCGGGATTACTTGTGGCACATGGGGTTTAGCGATTGATGAGGAATTTGCGAAGAGTGTATAAATCCGAGCCAGCTCTCGGAGTTAAGTTACGTCCAGACTGGTGATTTTTTCGCCGCCCTGGCTCTGGTGCGGCGAGCCTCTGCCGGGATAGGAAAAAACCGTCTGGCCCGCCATACATCGCCACAATTCAAACCCCCCGTCTAGCTGGAACATTCAGCCACAAATTTTGGCCCAAAAATCCGTGCAGCTACAGTTTCCACCAGCGTGTCACCTGGTAAATTTCGCATGGCACGGAAGCATGGAAACCATAGCATTTCGACCAAAGCATGAAAGTCAGACCAAGACTTTTTCGTTCGCGACACTCATAGGCTCTTAGTATCCATGGTCGCTCTCATGAAACTTATTTTCGAAGTCGAGGACACACCGCGTTCCCCCCTTTATATTCTGTCGCAAGCATCCATCCGCGGAATTTCGGTGCTTGCAAGTGGAGTTGGTATCTCCAGCCATAGAAATTCTAGCTGAAGTAAGCCATTTGTGGGGCGCCACGCCATTCGCCAGGCCTGGTGGCTGAGACTTGCGAGAGTGCATATGTCGTGAGACCTTTATCATGGACGGGAAACTGAGAAGGCAGTGCGAGACGCCAGATTAGGAGCACATTTCACATCTCTATGTTTGGAGGAGTGAGAAAGTGTGACAGGGAATTACGAGGAAAAAATACTGCCGGACTGTGTATCTGCCTTTGCGGGTCGAACTAGACGGTCTCTACAAAAGAAAGAACGGTACGTGCCAACGCATTCTGTGTAGGTAATTGTTTGCATCGGGAATGGCCAAGGCTTGGGGGTCTTATCGGGGTAGTGTGCATGTTTTCCCGCCGTAGCCCGCTCTCTCAAGAAAAAGAACGAAAAACCCGTATGAGTTTGCAAAAAAAAAAAATAGAAAAACTCAGCCCTAAACGTAGTTTGCACTCTGCCGTGACCATAGAGCCCTGTATACAGCGCCATGCTTGTTTATTGAAGAGCCGTTCATTGGAACACACATTTGTTTCCC